TACAAAAGATACTTTAACCAAGTCCTCAGAAAACACTCCCCACAAACCCTCAAAGAAAAAGAGAAGAAAAAAATAAAAATCACACAACTAGAAGCAATCCCACAAAATGCTTAAATCCTACCCTATATGCAAATACCATATTCCTGTTATCTTCACACTTATAGACAGCTTTTTATGCTCATTGCCTGGAACTCCTTCAGTTCATTTTAAAAACTTCTTCACTGTATTCTGCCTCCTACATTCTCCATACATTCTTTCAAAAGTCTCATCAGTAAATAATATAACATGCTTTTATGACATCAGAATCTCATCTACTTTCATTCAAGACTACCTCCCTTCCACCAACTCTCAGCATCTAACAATCTCTCAGACTTCTAGCAGCCAGCTGGAGATCAGAGTTCTTACTTTCCTTCCACACCCAAAAGCTCTTTCTCAATTAGCAGATTCATTACTTTCCACACCACTGCCATTTATATTCTTAGCCCAAACAAGTTTTGAACTAATATCTCTGTAAATTCTGCCACAATTTGGATAAGTTTCATCAACTTGTTCTGCAAAACAACTTTTCATCTCAGGTAGACTTTCATCATCTTTCACTTTTATTATTTCAACACCATCCTCTCTGGCCTAGAACAAAACAGAACAAACCCAGTTGCACTGACTTTCCCTGGTCACATCTGTGTGGAATGCTTCTCCAAAGGACATGTCAGTTGACCCAAGCCACTGAGGAAGGATGAAGTACACATATATATCTCTCTGCATTACAGGGGTGGGAACATCCCCTTGCCCCCAGAGAAGAACACACAATCTGTTGTTTATTCTAAGAGGTTGTTCAGAGAAAAACTTCTCTTCATCCCTTTCCAGGCCAACTACAAGGGGAAAAAAAAAAAAAAAATCTTCTGACACTACTCATTCCTTGATTCCCCTCCAGCTAACCAGTTATTTGGTTTTCCTTTCAGAAATGTTACATTTGAACTCTGCCCTGTAGCCAGCTGAATCAAAATGCTGACTTCAAACTGCTAATTGATCATCATCCATAGGCTCTACCACAGAACTGGTTAGGCTTTCCTACACTAGGAAAAGGTTTGTCCAGTGCTCTGCCTTATGGTACACATGAAGAAACTTCCCATCAGCTACACTGCCTCTGCACCAAAAACACTTACACTGAACAACATGGTCTCATTTCTCTTTACTCCATCAGCTCCCCCAAACTATTTTTCTAACTGGAGTCCACTCCAGCAGATGTATTTGCTTGACCCTACACACAAACAATACTACTAATAAACAAAACACGTAGACAACTCTCAAGTAACAAGGCAGTTGCTAGTCAAAAATGTAAGATATGTAAGCAACTCCCCCCCATTTCCTGCATTTTTAACACGCTAAACAAATAGCAGAAGGCTGTTGTAGTACTTTGGACTGCTTCAGAGTATGATCAAAGATAAATAATGAGGTTGGCTCTCCATTACCAACTCAACTCCAGTGACTTTAGGTCAGTTTAAGAACTGTCATGGCATTTCCAGACAAAAATAAATATAGACTCTTTACGATCTGACAACATTTCTCCCCTCCTGAAGTGAAGCTGTGATTGAAAGTAGAGACTGAAAATATTATTGGGATATTAACAAGGTTTTCTGTCAGAAGTGGGTATTAAAAGCAGTAAAGGTCAGGGTGGGGAGAAGATTACTGCAACACTGCAACTTTAACAGTATCTCTCATCTCCTGGCTACAATTTTGATTATCAAACCCGTTACCCTTCTTTCACAGACACATGGAATGGGGACTTGGGGAAGGCTTTAATGGCAGATAGCATATATTTTCACAAGGAATCTCCTTCCCACTTCAACCTCTCCCAAACTACTCTGTGTATCTGAACACCCTGAACTACCATCATAGCGAATGGCTCAGTTAATGGGCACAAGTGAGACACAACAGGTCTGCTTTTAAAGCCAGCGATTATGAAGGAAGACTAAGATGTGTGCAACACTTCCCTGTCCATTGTGAGAATGAAGGAAGTTACTAGGGCACAGAATCTCAGTGTTCACTGAAAAATACTGGGTGCTTTTTTAGGCTGGTAACCCATCATCTGACTACTGGCCATTAAAACTGCACTGTAAATCATGGAATCTTATGTTGTGGCACCCAAAAACGCACACAGCACTCGAGGTGAGGCTGCACAGAGTAGAGAGGGAGAATCACCTCTCTCGACCAGCTACTGATCTGTACCTGATGCACCCCACGATACAGTGAGCCACTGCAATTCCTTCTGAACTGTGTTTGCTTCTGGCATATCCTTAATTTTCAACAGACCACATGTAGGATCAATAAATATCGAAAACAAAGTAATTACATTAAGAGTCGCCATACAAGAAATTCTTGACTTTCTCAATAACATGAGCACTGTCTCAAATTTCAGAGAAATGAACTTCAGCTCCAAGGCAAATAACCCCAACACTCAGACTTCCTATAAGAACCATTTCCCAGCTATAAAACATAGTTAATTTACTAGTGTATTAAAAAAAGAGTTCAACTTAGTAATGCACCTAGATCCAAGCAGTGTGTAAAACTGAAGTAAAAAGAAGTCAGTTCTCTCCCTGAACCAAAGCCAAACCATTAATCTGCAGTATCTGCTGACCAGACCTTACCTCATTGCAGTCTACACCTTTCTTGTGAGGGGAAAAGGAGGGGTAGGCACTGATCTCTTCTCTGTGGTGACCAGTGACAGAAACTGAGAAAATGGCCTGAAGTTGTGTTAGGGGAGGTTTAGGTTGGGTCTTAGGAAAAGGTTCTTCCCCCAAAGAGTGGTTGGGCACTGGAACAGGCTTCCCAGGGAAGTGGTCACAGCACCAAGCCTGACAGAGTTCAAGAAGCATTTGGATGATACTCTCAGGCACATGGGGTGACTCTTGGGAGGGTCCTTGCATGGCTAAGGGTTGGACTTGATGATCCTTGTGTGTCCCTCCCAACAATATATCCTCAGTGATATATGTCCAACTACTTATTTAGAATAACATTTTCAACCCAAATCCGGTCCCAGCAGAACTGGAGTTGACTTGTACCTTGCTATACAACATACAAAGCTGAATCCTGTCAACTTGAGCTTCCAGTGATCCCACAAGTAAGCTCACACCTCCCTTCATCTGCAAGCAGATGTTCCTTTATCCACATGTATCTACAGACATACCACATCCGACATGAAAGGAACTGACTACACCAGTAGCCTGTCTCCTCCTTTTTTTGGTCCTTTTTTTTTTTTTTTAAAATCACAGCCCAAGACTACAGATTTTCCTGAAGCTTCACGCTTAGTGCTCCACAGTTATCAAGCTGGAAACAAGATACAGGGTTAGACTTGTAAGGGAAATAGTGTTTAGCCTCCAGTAGAAAGCTGAGGACAGAAGCAAGAGCCTCTCTGACTACACCCAAGTTAAACAACATTTGCTTCCCCTACTTGGGAAAGCACACCTAGATTCAGTGCAGGAAAAAAAAAACAGGATTGAGAAGAAGGCAGAAATGAGGACAGATAAAGCAGAAAGAGAATATTGTAGATGGGGGAAAAAGCATATGAGTAGAATTATATTATGTGGCTCAGAGAGGAGGACAAGAGAACACACAGGAGAGATAGCAAAGGCAATGCAGAAACAACACAGGAAGCGATATCCTGTTACCCAATGTAGGAGACAAACAAAACCAACTTGTGAGCCCCATGACAAGGGCTGCAGCTCCAACAGCCAGACAGGGTGGGACAGAACACATGAAGATACCAAAATCCAATACCTTCTCTCCAGATTAGTACTATGTGCCTAGACATACTTCAACATGAGACAACAAAATCACCCAGCTTAACACTACACATCTGCACAGTGGTCACAGTTTACATTAAACTCCCATTCTCTAGGTCCAAAACCAAATAGTACTTTCAATCTTTAACAAATAAACAATATTAAAAAAAAAATCAGGTGAAAACAACAGGCCTCACTGTGAGTCTTTTGTTTAGTGGGGTGGGGGAAGGATGGAAGTCAGAGCCCAGAGACAGCTGATACCTGTCTGACTGCTGCAAAAAGCACTGTTTTGGCATGGACAGTGGTTGCCCATTTATCTCCCCCTTCTCTGGAAACACAGTTCCCTGCTAAGTTCAGAGTATGGCCCGCCTTGCAAAACAGAGCCGATACTAGGGCTTGTCAGCAATGTCATGTATCACAGTTTTTAGTGTATTACCCTAAAACACATTTCAAGGCTCTTTGGTTGGCAGCTCTTAACCGATAAAGAAGTCCCTCCTACAGCAGATAACTGAATAGCCAGCAAAAAATCAACTGCTCTTCCAAGACTTCAATAATCACATTGTCAAAACTGATAAACATCAGGTTTTGAGCAGTTTGCATGCAACACTTCTTGACCCTCCCAATAGCAACTATGTCCCTCCCCATGCCAGTTCTCTACACTGGGCTGGGGCCTGATGCCATCAGGGTCCCCACACGAAACACACCACAGTGAGTGGGGAGGAAAACAAAACAAACAAACACTGTGATTCTGCACAGACCTCCTCAGCTGCAGGAGGCTCCTTCTTGCTCTAAAGCATTCAGGGCTTGCAGTAACTTTGACAACATAGAAAACACTTCCCCAGTCTTGGCCTGTTTAACTAATCAATACTTCTGTACAATACAGGAAACAGAGTTTCCTGCCCCTTCCCAACAATTGTAAAATGGTAATTACTATTTAACCAAGAAAGCTGACTTGAGAAAAATATTTCTGGAGTTATCTTCATTGCTATAAAACTCCTGAAAGTTTTCTACTCTGCATTACTGCTATAATGGACTTCTCTGTGTTAATCCTGTCAAAAACATTCAACAGATCAAAGCAACGGAGTGTGGCAGAGCACAGTGATCGTGACACCTCTCTGACCTCCACACCGGTATTTTTTCAGCTCTTAACTTTTGCATACAGAGGGAGAGAGACACAGGAAATACTGAGCTTAAAGAGTATGTGAATAGAAACTGACTCACCACAGTCCTTTGCTTGTTGGGCAGGAAGACTCTAACAATAGGCTTCTGTGGAGACTTGGGGTTATTCCGTGACATATCAGCAGGGTTTTGATAAACTGAAAGGGATGAAGGTGCTACAGAGAGGCTAGAGGAGGAAGATGATGCAACTGTGTCTGTTGAAGCTGAACTGGAGACAGAGAAATCAGTTCCATTCCCCATGGACTCCAGTAACTGCTGTTCTCTCTGCTGTAGAGCATCAAGCTTGCTGGTGTACTCTTCATAGGCCTGTGGAGGAAGAGCAGCTGTTGTAATCATGTAGTAGCCCCAGACAAAATCAGAAATCTAAATTCACAACAAACATGAAATGTAACATTTTCTAAACCTATTCAAATTTCTCAGGAATATGAACAAAATAGCCTGTTTAAATGTTTCAGTAGGACACAATGAAGAAACAGTTCCCAATACATTATGTTAAACCTTATGAAGCAACAACTAATGTTTTAATAAATTAAATGAATCAATGGATAAAAGAAATTGTAAGTTACAGCTTCAAAGCACCTACTCTACAGAGTCTAATTCACAACCACTTTAAAAATAAGACAGAAATCTTTCACAAATGTTGTCAGCTGCGTTGCTGAATTACTGTGCTCCCGATAAATTTTTCATCCTGGTGGAAAGACAGCTAAATACATCTAATGCAATAATTAAGAGAAAGCTCAAATCTGCTTTTTACCATCTGTATCTGATAACTCACCCAGCTCACTGTTCACCATCCTCCCCCTCTAGCACTGTCCTTTCACACCAAATAGTACAAAAAACTTCAGCTACAAAACATCACAGTTTGCCCTGTTTAAAAGTTATCCATAAACACGTAAAAGTGATGCTTTGAAAGAATTTTTTAACACCTTTTGATTTTCCGCAATTTTATGTAAAATCTGATTACATAGTGATCAAGTTTTTTAAACAAACAAAAAAAATCAGTATTATTAAATTTTCCCACTGTCTTTATTAAATGTAGTAAAGTTAAACATTATTGCCAAGACCTATAATACAAACACATAATCAGTATATATTTTTCTTTAAATTTTGTTTCCCACAGCTTTGTAATACGTAAATTTTGATCTGTATCCAATTATCAGAACAATTCCTTCAGCACATAAATTAGTACAGAGTATCTCCAAAAACCTGAATCAGTTAAGAAACGTGTTTCACCCTACAGATGCTGGCTATTGGGCAGTGTTAGCCAAGCACATGTTTAGATCTTTACAGGAAACAAGAAACAAAGATCTTCCAAACCTAACATTTAAGTAGTAGGGAATACAATCTTCTACTTTTCTCTATAGTAAGATCTACACAAAGTCGCATAAATTTTTCAATGATATTTTCAAGTATATTTACATAAAAGAAAGATACCTTTTGGTTCTTTTGTTATTTATTTGCTCTCCTAAAGTTCTCTGTGCACAATATGTTGCTAATTAAAGTTACAGGAGAACTGAACTGACCAACAATTGTCTGCAAAGGTCTACATGAGGAGAAAAAAAATTCAAATCAAGAGAAAGAATAACCAGCACTCTGTAGTGCAGGCACAAGTACAACATTTTACTAGGAATTTATTGGTCTGGATTGGATGTGCAGGATTCTCACCTAAACCAAACTGGTTTTGTTGAGTATAAAAGCAGCTGGTCCCTCACTTTTTATGAAAGTTTAGCATCCTCCCAGTAGGACATCTGCTCAAAATGTATCATCAACCCCACAATGTTAACAAAGAAAATGGTAATTTGACAGTGAGGACTAAGAAAGGAAAAGCACTTTAACGAAGGGTGGTCAAGATCAGTTTAAGATTCTAAATTTTACAAGTTCCATCTTTAATAAATGGACATATGTTCAGAAGCTGAAAACTACTTAACTATTTCCTTTAAAAACTAAGGATGTTGGGTATTTCACAAGTAGACCCCAAACTCTGAGACTAAAGACCAAAACATTTTCACTCTAGCACCAATTCTACTGTCAAAAGTAAACTGAAAGGTTACCCAACTATAAATAATGGCATTTTTTGGCTGTACAGTAACACAAGTGTGTCTCTCCTACTTCCAGGATCAACTTTCCATGGAAATTCAAGTAAAAGCTCCAATTTTCAGTAAACAAAAATTAAGAAACATAAACTGTTACTATTTCACCAATAGTTTTCTAAATACTTACTTCCTTTTCTCATGAACATTGCAAAATATTATTTGAGCACACGCAACATTGCATTGGTTCCGGATACTTGCGGGTTTAGTTCCTTCACAAAACTGCACACATCTTTCAAAATACTCAATCCTACGATGTTTACACTGGCAGCTTGATCTGTCAGTAATGCAAACTCAAAGTCAAATGATTTATCTTAAGAGAATAAACAGCGAGTATGGAAAGCTGGGAGCTGCTGCTGCTTTGAGTTTTATACCACTAATTTCTGCAAAAGGCTCTCCACTTTTTATGAGGACAAAAGCTCTCAGGTATTATACTGTTACTTGGTGTCATAGCAGAAGATCCCACAGCAAAACATAACAAAATATGTTAGTAGACTTTAAATATATTTTCCTCTTAAAAAAAAACAAAAACAAAAACAATACCTCTTTCTATACAGAAGGAGAAGCAGTGCATGCAGCAGAAACACAATAGCTCCAATAAAATCTCATTTCACAAGAATTAATTACTTTGGAGAAACAGTGGTTTCATCTGGTCGCCGGCATCAATAGACCTTACACAGCCAAGAGCACCAAGTCAAGACAGAATTATCCCATGGAGTTAAATTCAAAAAGTACTGCAACAGCAAAGCTGACCTATGGCAAGTATTTCTAGCTAAAAGAAAGATGATGTTGCAGCATTGGCCTGTGTGCAAAACAGACCTGCAGCAGCACGGCCACCTTAGCAGACAGATATCAACCCCTACATAAACGTTCAGGTCAGTCAAGGCCTTCTGAGTCAACTATGAGGTTTATTTCTGACAGTGTTTTTCAAAAACAAACTAAAAAAATAAATTAAAATGAAGTTTATGCAGCATCTACAGCATGAAAGAGATTAAGATGAACATTCGAACAGATCATTAAATCAAGGATTTAAAGGTGTTCCAGAAGGATGTATGAAATCTGGACTGCAAACGCATCAGTTTACACATTCCCATTAAGAAGTGAGTAATGTTCAACATAAAACTTAAAACTTGCTTTCACCTTGATAAAGAATCATACAAGAAAAAAAAAAAAAGAAAAAAATGTTAGAAGGTATCACTGCAAATCATCTGGTCCAAACACTTGTTTAGCACAGAAAATATTTTTAAGTTTAATCAGGTTCCTCAGGGCCTTGCCAAAGCAAGTTTTGAAAGTCTCAAAGGAGGGAGAGCCCACAGCCTCTGGGCCACCAGATACAGAGCTCAAAACTCACTCTCATGGTGAAGAATCTTCTCTTATGAAATTCACTTGATGCTGTGACGTTGCCTCTTCCCCTTTTGCTGTCAATGTCTGGGAAGAGGGTGGCCCTCTCTTCAGGTTCAAAGAGCCTGCAGAATCCTCCTTAACTTTCTCTTCTCCCTGCTAAACACCACTCCAGTGCAGCCCCACAAGTAACAAGCAGATGGGTCCCTCTTCACGCTGGGCCCAGTGTGCAGTTTGGTGCGGGGATCATGAGGGAGGGTCACTGACAGCTCAGCTTGCTCCCAGCTTAGTCCGAATTTCAAAGGTACAGTCTTTCATAAAGTTAAGTGAAATATCTGAAAAGCTGAACATTAGATGCAAATTGGCACAACCCGTCGATCTACACATAATTCAATGGCTATTAAAAACAGAGCAAAAAGTTAATTTAAATTATATTGCATATCACTATATATGCACATCATATGATAGTCTCACACAGGCGAGAATACTCCTGAGACTTCATTTAAGTAAAACGCATAAAGGCCTGATAAGCTGCCAAGTCCAACTAAAGCATTTCAAGATGGCATGTTTATATACAATATGTATACATGCCAAAATACAACTGCTGTTGTATCCTGCTGTATATATTCTGCAGTTGTAACTGTTGCATATATTCAGGAGCAGCAGCCTTAAAGTTACTTCTTAAAAGTTGCAACCTATTGACAAAATAAAAACTGACCTCAGAAGTCAACAGAATTCAGAAGATGTTATATAGATGTGCCAACAGAGTTCTCTTGACAAGATGAGGACAAGGGATTTTCTCAAAAGTATGTGGTTTTTTTTCTCTTGCATGTAATTATATTTGAAATTTGCTTTCTTGGGGCATGACCAGGCTATACACTCTAATAACATCATCTAGGGATATGAAAAGCAACAAGTTAACTTTTTCCCTTAATAATCTGGGAGAAACCCAAGTAGCAAAATATGATTTCTCCTTCTCTCTGCTCTCTACCACATCAGGTTAGAAAGCCAGTCTCAGCTCAAGCAGACCAATGGCTTTACCATGCTCTCTCTCTTCCTCAATCAATTTTAGATAATACTCACACACTGCAAGACTCTTAAAAGCCTAAACTACAGGTTCCTGGTCTTTGAGACTGAGACTGTGTTTCTATTTAAAAGATGACTGACCTTTTAGGCTGTTGATTAAATGCAAATCCCACTAACCTAAACGGGAGCTGAAGATAGACAGTAACATACGTCACAATTTCTTCATTTAGTAAGACTCCTAAATCTGTACTTAGTCTAACTTTAGACACTCCAGTTTTGGTCTAACATATTTGAACAGCATCTGTTAGGAGCCTGGTAAAAACCACTTTGAATTTCCCCAGAGGGCCGCCAGGTTTCCCAGTGCCTGTATGCAGTGTTAGCATTTTCCTGGAATACCACAGTCTGAAACAACCTGAGATTCCCCACTAACATTTGTTTCTGACTGTATCTGCCTGCTGTTGCAATGAGCATACTTCAGATCAGCGGAGAGGAAATCTTCTTTAATTAACTAATTTGACCCCCTGAGTGGATTCTTCAGATATACAGGAATAAGGAATTAAATACTCTCCTGACATTCAACAGCCAAACTCTCAAAAATGGGAACAACAACAACAACTCTGAACAAAACATGTCCAGGAAAAGAGAAAGTTAGGGGAAAAAAAATAAAAATCACAGTAGTTGGGACAACCATACCTCTATCTCCATGGTTCTCATTTTAAATTGCTTCCAGGAGTATGAGTAGGAAAGAGGTTGATTCCTTCAAGACAAAGTTGACTGAGCTTTAAAACTTATTTTGACACCACTATCATTCTCTGCATTTGTATATGGTCTTATTTTGTGTGGAGTCCA